AAATTAAAATAAATTAAAATAAATTAAAATAAATTAAAATAAATTAAAATAAATTAAAATAAATAAGAGAGAAAATATAAAAAGGACCACAGAAAAAAAGGTATAAGGCAGACAAACAAAAACAAAGAAAAACAAATAAAGATAAAAACAAACAAAAACAAAGTGAAGACATTTTATTTAAATAAAGAGCAAAGTGAAGATATTATTTATTTAAATAAAAAACAAAGTGTAGATACACCGCAAATAAACAAAGACAGCCATCTACAGGTTTATATTTTTTGCTTTTTTTGTTTGTTCACTGAATGTAATAAAATATATATATAAACTGCGATTTGTTTGTTTATTAATTTAATTATTTCTTTATTTATACATTTATTTATTTATTTATTTATTTATTAAGAGACGAAGGAGGCAATTAATCACCTGCTGCAGCAGCGGGGGCCCTGTCTCCTTGCCGGTAAGGGCAAGGCGGAGCAGCAGCAGCAGCTGCGCCTTCTCTAACTGCAGCAGCTGCTGCTGCTGTTGCTTCCATGCTTCAAACTGCTGAAGCAGCAGATGCCTCTCCTCTTGTCGCTGCTGCTTCTGCTGTTGTTGTTCCTGCTGCTGCTGCTGCTGCTGTTGCTGTTCGTCATCAGGTGTATAGACACCCGAAAGGGCAGCAAACATGTCTCTGTGCTGCAGCACAGCAGCAGCAACAGCTTTAAAGGCAGCAACCTCCCCATACACCCCAGCAAGATCCTGGGGACCCCCCAATAGGTGTTCCTGCAAGGCAGCAGCAACAGCAGCAGGAGAGGTGTGCTGCTGCAGCAGCAAACGAGCAGCAAATGCAATGAAGTCAAACAAAGGAGGCCTGAGTGCATGCAGCGCTGAAGATTGAGGCCCCCTCCCCCCATCGCAGCCCTTCAAACCATTTGCTGCTGCTGCTGCTGCTGCTGTACTTGCTGCTGCTGCTGCTCGTGCTTCTGTTGCTGTTGCTGCTGCTGCTGCTGCTGCTGGAGGGTCCGCGGTGTCTACGCAGACGCCCGGCGCCATAGAAATGACGTCTAAGAAAAACTCCACCAGCGGCTCGGCGTTGGGGCTGGCACTCAACTGCATGCAAACCCCAAACCCTAAACCCTAAACCCTAAACCCTAAACCCTAAAAGCTTTACGCCCCCAGTAATAGAGTGAGACGCTAAAGGCAAACGCAGTTGTAAGCACTAACCCAAGCTGTTTGTTGCCCACAGCAGCAGCAGCAGCAACAGCAGCAGCAGCAGAAACAGCAGCAGCAGCATTAGTACCAGCAGCAGCATCAGCAGCAACAGCGTCGCAAAAAGCAGCAGCAGGAGCAGCACCATTAGCAGCATTAGCAGCAGCAGCAGCAACACCAGCGACAACAGCAGCAGCAACAGCAACAACTTCAGCAGCAACGTCAACGGCAACTGCAGCAGGAGTAGCATCAACAACAGCAACAGTAGCAGCACCAACAACAGTAACAGCAGCAGCAGCAGCACCAACAATAGTAACAGCAGCAGCAGCAGCAGCGTAAGTACCTGGCGTATTTTTTGTTTGTGTGCGTAGTTAAGATGTCTGTCATCAAAACAAAAGGCGCTGCGGCCCAACGCACTCAACCAAGTAGCCTTCCCCCTGAACGCAGCCACTGAAAACCCTAAACCCTAAACCCTAAACCCTAAACACTAAACCTTAAACCATAAACCCTAAACTCTAATGCGTCAACCCTAAATTCTAAACCATAAACCAGCATTGGGGTGTATAGGCACCTCTTCAATGGGGTGTATAGGCAGCTTTTCATTGGGGTGTATAGGCAGCTTTTCATTGGGGTGTATGGACAGCTTTCATTGGGGTGTATATGCAGCTTTTCATTGGGGTGTCTACGCACCTTTTGTTGTCGCTGTCGTTGGTGTGATGGCCACGCAAGAAACTCACAACAGCATCGGGATGATAACCGCAAAGACGCAAACCCCTAATCGTGTAGTCGCTGCTGCTGCTGCTGTTGCTGCTGCTGTTGTTGCTGTTATTGTTGTCCTCGTCGTTGTTGCTGCTACTGCTGCTGCGGGTGCTGTTGATGCCGCTGCTGTTGCTGCTGGTGTCGCTGCTGTTGCTGCTGCTGCTGCTGCTGCTGCTGGCGAGCAGCAGCTGTCTGCGTTTGCTGATTTTTCCACCTTCTTTGGCTATGATGACGGGGAGATGGCAGAAAAAAGGCAAAGGCGCTCCGAGGGCCCTGCTAATCAGAATCTGGCTGCATCGCATACACCCCAAACCCTAAACCCTAAACCCTAAACCCTAAGCCCTAAACCCTAAACCTTGAAACCTAAACCCTAACAGGCAACAACTCTATCTTTACGAATGGCTGAGTGTCTGGTGTTGCTGCAGCAGATGAGTATGCGCAGTCTTTATGGTTCCCAGTTGCACTCATAAACCCTAAACCCTAAACCCTAAACCCTAAACCCTAAACCCTCGGCTCACGCTACAGTGTTTGGAATATGTTCTTCTCCCCTAATAACGACTGTCACCCCCATCAACCAATCATCAACAGCAGCGCAGAAATTATAAACAGGAACACCCCAACCCTCTCCTTCTTTGGGGCCCCCGAGGGCCCCAGGGGCCCCCGTAGGGGGCCCCCCAAAAGCTGCTGCTGCTGCAGTAAGGGGCCCCCCAACTGCTGCTGCAGCAATGGGGCCCCCTGGGGCCCCCAGGGGCCCCTCACCTGCTGCTGCAACAACGGAGCCTCCTGGGGGCCCCAGTGAGGCCCCGTCTAGCGCTGCTGCAGCAGCTGGGGGGCCCCCCCTTGGGGTTATTTGTGTATAACGGAAGCAAATGAAATCTGCTGCTGTCTGCTGTATAGAAAAGGTGACGGGGCCCCGAACAATGTCATTAAAACTAACAGTCTCAGGCTCCAGTGGTGTCCTGCAGCAGCAGCAGCAGCAGCAGCAGCAACAGCAACAGCAGCAGCAGCAGCTGATGAACGCAGAAAGTGGCGCCAGGGAGAAACACCAGAAATACAAACAGCAACAGCTAACGGAGCAACCGGAAGGCAGAAACAGCAACAGCTGCAGCAGCAGCAGCAGCAGCAGCAACAGCAGCAGCAACACCAGCCACAGCCCCAACACTATCTACTGCTGCAACAGCAGCAGCACCACCAGCACCAGCCTCAGCATCAGCAGCAACTGCAGCAACAGCAACACCAATAACACCAGCAGCATCAAGAGCAGCAGCAACAACAACAGCAGCAGCAACAGCAGCAGCAACAGCAGCAGCAGCAATGGCTGCACCTGAATCTGAGTGTAAATGGCCTCCCTGCTGCAGCAAACGCTGCCGCTTGCTGCGGGCTTAGCGAGCGACACCTCCCATCATAACGGGGCGGTAGGCCCTGCTCCGTGCACTGTACCGCAGCAGCAAACCCTAAACCCTAAACCCTAAACCCTAAACCCTGAGACGTGAGCACTAAGCTGCACGCGCAAAACCCTAGTCTTTCGGTTGCTCTTCCTCAACCGCAACAGCAGCAGCAGCAGCAGCATCAAGCGTAGCAGCGAAAGATGCATCAGCTGCAGCAGCAGCAGCAGCAGCAACAGAAGCAGCAGCAGCTGCTGGCTTACCCTGCGGCGCAACTCCAGGAGTCGCTCTTTGCTGCAGAAGCATTTATAAAGAAGCCCCTTCTCTAGCAGCCGCTGCCCCTGTTGTCTGTACATCCCAAACCAGCAGCAGCAGCAGCAACAGCAGCAGCAACGGCAACAGCAGCAGCAACAACAGCATATGATGCCCTACAATGAATCTCTTAGCTGCTGCTCAAGGCGGCAAGGCAACAACAGCAGCAAGGCCGAGTGAATGAACCAGCAGCAGCAGCAACAGCAGCAGCAGCAACAGCAGCAGCAGCAACAACAACAGCAACAACAGCACTTGGGGGCCCCACCGATATATTTCTTGTCTCTCAGACTGTCGATAGGGGCCCCTGGGGCCCCCCACATCGGGGCCCTCCTCCCACGTGATGCCCAGCCACCTGAACAGACAGCCCAGACCCTAAACCCTAAACCCTAAAAACCCTAAACCCTAAATCATAAACCCTAAACCGTACACCTAAAATGCGTAAACCATAAACCCTAAACCCTAAACTCTAAACCATAAACCCTAAATCATAAACCCCAGAACCTAAACCCTAAACCCTAAACCCTAAACCCTAGACCAGGTGGTTTCTGACCTGAGGTCTTCAAAGAGAGCCTTCTCCATTTGCGGTTTGCTGCGGTTTGCGTCGGTGTCTTCAACCCTTAAAATTAATTTGTCTGCTCCTCCTCTCTCTCCCTCCTCCCACCCCTCCTTCAACTCCTTCCTACAAACCCTACTCACCAAACCCTTCATTAAGGGGCCCCCTGAGGCCCCTCCAACCCTAGGGGCCCCTGGGGCCCCTGGGGCCCCTGCCGTACTCGGGGCCCCTAAGGGCGCTGCATCTCTGGGGGCCCCTACCTCCCCTGGGGCCCCTACCTCCCCTGGGGCCCCTACCTCCCCTGGGGCCCCTGGTTTGATATTGGGGGCCCCTGGGGCCCCTGGTTTGATATTGGGGGCCCCTGGGGGCCCCAAATGGGATCGATGTTCTTGTAAGAGTTTGAAGTTGAAGAGGGCAGTGCGAGCCCCACCGACATGCAGCAAACCTGTGGGGCTGGGGGCAAAGCGTAAGACAAGGGGGACCCCAGAAAGAGCTGCTGCTGCTGCTGCTGCTGCTGGTCCTGCTGCTGCTGCTGCGGCTTCACATAGGCAGTTTGGGGGAGATGTCTTTGGGTTTGTAATGCTGCTGCTGCTTGTTTTGTTTCTGGGGCTCTTCTTAGCTCCTTTGTCGCTGCTGATGAGGGACACAGAGGGCTCATCGCTGCTGCTGCTGCTGCTGCTGCTGCTGCTGGGGTTGCTGCAGCTGCTGCGGCTGCTGCTTGAGCCATTAGCTGCTGACCCCCTGCAGCGGTGCTGCAGAACAAAAGCTGCTACGCGATGCCTCTCTGCTGCTGCACCTTCAGCCCTGCCTGCAGCAGCAGCAACAGCGGTAGCAGCAGCAGCAGCAGCAGCAGCAGCAGCAACTGTAGCACCCTGTGTCTGAGCGGCAGCAACAGGTCTCCGCATGCATCTCCCTGCAGCAAATAAAGAATTACTTTTCTGATGTCTCCTCCACTCATCTTCACCCCAAACATAACGTGTGGGGTCCCCTAAAGGGGACCTTACCAGGGGCCCCTGGGGGGCCCCTGTGGAGGCCCTTATAGGGGCCCCAATGAGAGCTACTGTGGAGGCCCTTATAGGGGCCCCTGCGGAGGCACCGATGGGGGCCCCCTGTGGGGCCCCTATGGGGGCCGCTTCGAGGGCCCCTATGGGGGCCTCTCTGGGGGCCCCTCTGGGGGCCCCCAGCAGTGCGCATGAAGATGTGAGTGTGTGTTGAAGAGTGAAGATGAAGAAGAGAGGAGAAAGAAGAGCAGAAAATAAAATTTTTATTTTTATTTTCATTTTGTTTTGTTGATCTGGGGAGAAGAGGGCGGGAGGGGCCCCCAAGGGGCCCCCAGTACCCTAGGAGTACTGATTGATGTTTATTTTTGCTTTTTATATATTTAATTTCATTAATATTAATGTTTTATTTATGAAAATTGACGTGTATAGACAGACCTAGCAGCACCAGGTGTAGCAGCAGGGCCCCTTTACTTGGGGGGCCCCCTATGGGGGGCCCCCCAGGGGGGGCCCCCATTCTGGTGTTTATATTATATTATATTATATT